ACACACAATCTATAACTGTCTCTGTATTTATGTTAATAACCATGGGTTTATACTTACAATCTGCCACTAAAGAGGTAATTCTAGTCTCCCATTCCATATTTGTAATTTCCTTCTCTAATCTGATAATCTAATCATTCTCTTCAATATATTTAGTCATTTGCTCATCTCCACTATACACAAAATAGTGTCAGAATTGCTAACCCATACCACTGTGAAAAGCCAAACTGCTAATAGAGTTTAGTATTTGTTTCCAGTTCTCTCTGTCTTTAGATTGAGGGCATATACTTAAAATACTCTGCTCACAGATATATTCATATGTCAAAAATCATCATATTGTACACTTTAAATATCTGTAGTTTAAGTCAATGTCAATAAAGCCATACAAAATAACTGGGTTCAAAAGTTTCTAAGGTTCATTCCCCAGGGAAACTTTTCAGAGAAGTTCTGTTACTTAAGATACAGTGAGGTTCATTTGCTTCCGTTCGTTTTCTATTTCAGGGTTCAACTTCCCTCTTTGTTAATTTCATTTCATTTTTTTGAATATGTAAAGCATTAACATGGTTCCAAAAGTCAAAACTATCCGGAAAGTTATATATGGAGAAGTGCCTGATTCCAGCCTGTTCTCTGTAGGTAGCCAATCTTACTGGTTTCTGGTTTATCCAAGTTACAAAATAAGTAAGTTTATCCAAGGAAAATTTGGAGTACAAAAATAAAGCCAGGGAAGATGTTCCTTTATCCTTCCTGTTTTTTTTAATATATAAATAGGTGAAGAGGATTAAGAGGCACATTCTTCCAGTTACAAAATAAGTAACTCACAGGGATGTAAAGTACAGCATAGGAATACAGTCAATAATACTGTAAGAAATTATAAGTGACTACACTTACGGTGGTGAGCATTTTGCAATGTACACAGATGTCGAAACTATGTTGTGCACCTAAAACTAACATAATATTGTGTGTCAACTATACTTCAGCTGAAAAGAAATTTGGAAACTCTTTAAGCAAAATGAATTACAACGTGTTGTGGAATGTATAACATCTGTGAAAGCAAAATGTATGACAACGGCACAAATGCTGGGAGGGGAGCTGTGCAAATACACTATGGCAAAAAAAAACAAAACAGATGTATGTACATTTTTCTTATTTCTCCTTCTTTCATCTGTATATACTCATGTAGTACACTTTCCTTTTTTTTTTTCACGTAACAGTATATCCTTAAAGTTATCCCTTATCAAGTTCATATCACTCTTTTTTTCTTCTTTTTTTGGGGCAGCCATATAGTATCCCGTGCCTTCCTGTAGGACTTGTATGGTTTCATGCTTTACATTTAGATTTCTCATGTATCTGCACTTTATTCTTGTGATGAGATAAAGTATGGATCTCATTTTATCTTTTTCCAGATGGCTACTCAGTTGTCTTATTTACTGAAACGTTGATTTTTTTGCTCCACGGGTGTGAGCTGTGCTGCTACATCTCTGATGCATCCTGGGGGCCCATTCTGGACTATCTAGTCTGTTCCACTTGTCAGTATATCCATGTGCCACAACCTCATTGTTTTACTTATGGAGGCTTCACAGAATAGTTTTATATGAGAGATGGGCTTCTTATTGTAACTTTTCTTTTTCTGTGTTTCTAGCTCTTCTTTCATGTTTCTTTTTCCATGAGAACTCAAGCTGAACTTTTGTATCAACTTGTCTAATTTATAAATTTATAATTTAACCAGGGTGCTTTCCCATTTGATCAAATGAAACTTGATCTTCTGTGGCTTTTGTGTAGGAGTGTTTTCCAGTTTCCCTCCTACAGGTTTTGCACATTTGGTGTTAGATTTATACCTAATTATCTGATTTTCTTTGTTACTATTAAAATGGCATTCTCTCTGCCATCGTGTCTTCTGTCTGGTTATTGTTTGTGTATATTAAAAACCATTGACTTCTGTCTGTTCATTTTACAGCCAGCTACCTTGCTGAAATATTTTATGATTTAGCCTAATCCAATAGTTTGAGTTAGTCTTGCCATTGATTCTCTAGGGTTGTCCAGGTAAACCCTCATCTCAAGGGAGTTGTACTTATTTTCTAACTTTTTTTTTCTCTTTTTAAATTCTGAAGCCTCTTGTGAGTTCTACTGTCTCATTGCATTAGCTCATATTTTCAGTGTAATGTTAAATAATCACGGATAGAGTGGGCATCCTTGCCTTGCTCTCTGCCACTGTCTCTTGAATGACTGTATACAGTTGAACCTTGAACAACACAGGTCTGAACTGCATAGGTCTGCTTATACACGTGTTTTTTTCAATAAATCCAGTATAGAAGTATAAATGTATTTTCCCTTATGATTTTTTTTTTAAGATTTTATTTATTTGAGAGAGTAAGAGAGAGCACAAGACGGGGGAGTGTCAGAAGGAGAAGCAGATTCCCTGCTGAGTGGGGAGGCCCACGTGGGACTCGATCCGAGGACTCCGGGACCATGCCATAAGCTGAAGGCAGACGCTTAACTGACTGAGCTACCCAGGCACCCCACTTATGATTTTCTTAGTAACATTTTCTTTAGCTTTATTATAAGAATACAGTCTATAATGCATATACAAAATATGTGTTAATTGACTGTTTATGTTATCAGTAAAGCTTCAGCTCCGCAGCGGGCTACTAGTTAAGTTTCTGGGGAGTCAAAAGTTATATGTGGATTTTTGACTGTGTCCGACGTCGGTGCTCCTAACCACCTCGATGTTCAAGGGTCAACGGTGTATGAAAAATGCCTTAAAGGCCAGAAATAGCTCTTCAGTGTAAGAAGCTTCTGGATATTTATCTGGCAAGATGAAATTAAGGCTCTTCTTATGCTTAGTAACTAGAAAAAGAATTTAGCAAATGGTGGAAGTAAAAATTTGATTTTGTAACAGTTCATTGAAAACACTTGTGCTGGGCCCCAGTGTTACCTTTTATATTTAAAGACCTCTTTGATTATACTTTGCTCTTCATTCATTCATTCGTCTAAGATTTACAGAATGCCTCTAATACTCCACTCTCTTAGATTCTTTCTCATTTAATTTGTACTGTACCCATGTGAAGTTGATATTATCCTCATTTTATATGGAGAAAATTGAGGTTAAGAGTTACGTGGACACACAGCCTCTAAGGTTGAACTCTGATTTTGAATCTGCATCTCCTGGTTCGAATCTAAACTCTCATATATTTCTTTGCCAGGGAGTGGAAACACAGAAGAGTAACAATCAGTATATTTTTAGAAAGCAACGGTCTTAAATTCTCTTTCTTTCATTAAAGGTCACAATGTTATATCCAGTCACATCGTTGTGGGCAGGCTTCTTTAAGTAGAACCTGAGCGTATTAATGGGAGTGTATTTGTTCTTCTCAGTTATGAAGGACTTCAGAGAAATGTTCCTTATGGTATCAGGGATCCAAACGACAAGAAGCTTTGCAGATGGTGATAAGTATATCAAAGTATCCAGGACCTAGAAAAGCACCTGACATAGGGAAAGCACTCAAATAACAATAATTACAAGTTTATTAGTGTTCATTCTGTTCTGCATTCTTTACTTGTATTAACTGGTTTCATCCTCACAACAACCCTAAGGGCATTTCTATTATTGCTTGTATTTTATAGGTGAGAAAACTGATGCATGTGCTAATTAATTTACCAAAGATCATATTCAATAAAAAAGCTGGAATTCAGTCTTCAGATCCCCTGCTCTTAATCACTACACTATAAATCTTTCAAATAAATGAAGTTCTGCGATCATGAAAACAGGAGAATATTCTACCTCCTGAATATGAGTCTACCAGCATTACTTACCAAGTACATTTTTCTGTTACTTAATGTGTAGGGGAATTTTGCAATCGATTAAGTAAATGAAAAGGCTCTTGTACTTAAGGTAGAGGAAAGGCACCTGAATACCTGAAATTCTTTATGTCAGGTGCTGTGTTAAATCTAAGTGTGTTTTGCTATTTCAATATATCGGACTTCTTGCAAAACTGCAAAGCCCAACGCAGCTCAAAATGCAAACGCAGCTTCTACGGGCCCCCGTCCTGAGCATATAATCTGCATGTGCACACCCACAGAAGGTATGTAACAGGACTGACAGTATACAACAGGCAATTATAAACAGTGGGCCGTGCAAGGGCCATGGAGGTCATCCAGTCCAACCACCAGTTTCGTGTCGAATCCTGAGGAAGTAACACAGTCACACAAAACGGACATCTGGGCTCTTTCTCACTGGCGCGCTTTTCATTACATAATACCTTTGCTTGCCTTTCCTCTCTTTTCCTGCCTGTTTTGTGCAGAAGTAAACGGGCCTGGCTTCTCGCGCTTGGGACCAAAAACCCATAAAGCAGAAAGGCAGTCGGACCCCTTGCAGGGATCCCGCTAACCCGAGACGCAACAGCCAGCCCAAGGTCAGAGTGCGCCCCGGGTCCGCCCTCCAGCGTCGGTGCGCAGACACGGCCGCATTTCGCAACCCTCCGCGCCGCCTGTCGGAAATCCACCAGCCGAATGACACCGCTCCCCACCCAACTCCGCGGTCCGTTTCTGTTAACAGGGTGCGGCCGAGGCGCTGGGCCAGCGGACGACTAGGAGCCGTGGGCCGGCAGCTCGCGCGGCCAGCTGTGACGCCAGGGCCCCCACCGGGCGGCCAACGCGACCACCGCACGGCGCCGGCCTCACCCCTCCCAGCTGACGCAGCGCACACCTCTCCGCGTTCGCTGCGCGCCGGGGGG